GGGGGAGGGGAGATGGGGGAGTGATTATGAACAGTGCAGTAAAGTCGCAAAATGAGCAACACATTCATTTTGGTGACAGTCATCCAAGTGAATTGCTGAAACATGGGATAAAAATCTAAACTAAATCCATTACAGGCTAGGAAATGTCCAGGATGTACGTGGAAAATCAAACTATGCACGATAACTTCATAAACTTAAGTTATATACGTCAAATGTCATTTCATTGAAAAACAAGGATGGGGTGAAAAGTACATGTACAATGTAAGCAACTGCGCTATTCTTGATATCCTAAAAAGCTTACCCAACTATCTGTGTAAGACGTTTGCTTTCTGTAGTCATAAGTATAACCGAAACCAAAGAGAGACTCTTCGTATTTCTTAAACTCTTTTCTACCCCTTGAAATATCTTCCTACTTCTACATTCCAAATTGTCCAAAAAAGGCAAACCGGCTAACTTTTCATGCTGCTTTCATCTCAATCTCCAACTTCTTTAACCTCCAACTAGCCATACACTCTAGCATTATCTTCAGAGATACCCATCTCTTATCAGATAAAGAGAACACCACTGCCCAAAGCTGGTTTTACATACGCAAGAAGCAAAATATGTGGGAAGATCTAGAAGTAACCCACTTGCTGCTCCCGACGACAAAGCCAATGAACCTTGTGAAGTCATCTTCTATTCTCATAATCACTTATGATAAGCTACTCCATGAGGGTGTATTACTTCATCTCAACCATCAATTATTAAACATCCCTTATTTAGCACAATCACATTTTTGTTTGAACCATTCCATCTAATTTCCAAAGCCAATACTCAAGAAAGCCATATTGAAGACCTCCGGTCTCCTTATCCATCCTCTCTCCCTTATAGGGTCATTACTTTTCCATTCCACCGGATAGTATTTCTTCTTTCTACCCACAAAAGTTCCAACTTATTTTGCTATAGCCGCAAGGATAAAATTCAATAACAAAAGTATGTGGATATGCTAGACAGTTCAAATTTCGACAATGTTAAGTTTCCACTTTTTAAAAAATACTATCTCTTGCAGAAATGCAGGGTAAGGCTGCGTACAATAGACCCCTGTGGTACAGCGGAAGCTTAGTGCACTGGGCTGCCCTATTTTATCTCTTCCACCCACTCAATCTCCGATCAAAATATTCACTCACTGACTGTTACAGAATCCATCTAAGTAGTGGTTCAATTTATTTAAGATTTAGTCATAACCACTTTACAGTTGCAAATCCACACTAAATTATGATTGTCCTGCATATCCCTAACTGGTAGTATTAGATAAGACTTAGCCATGTTGATGCGTGACCTTGATATTTTCAGACCATAATAGTGTCCTGAACAATATGAAGCTGTCTAGGACAAGACCCACAAAAAATCAAAGTATCATCTGCTAATAGCAATTGAAATATAGCGCTGCATTCACCTGAATCATCCCCACATTAAAGCCCCAAAATAAACCCCCAGTCACTATTTTGTCCATCAATTTACATACATTTTTCAGCTCAAAACAATACACATGCAGAGAGAGTATCACAACAAAGCAAGGTCAGAATAGAGAAGATAACAAGGGGGATAATTTTGGGAAAGAACTTCCTAAAACTGACGGATTTCAGTATCAAACACAACACTTGATATGAATACTCTATATCCATTCCCACTATTTGGACGCATTTCACTCCAAAGCACATAAGAAAATATTTAAATAACTTTTTTTTTTTAAAAGAAAAGGAATTAGCTGAAAGCACATTCAAATTAAACACTTGGGACACAACCCTAAAACCATGGTAGCTAGAACCTACTTCACTTTCCAACAGTAAGCAAAATTAACTACAATCATAAGGTCCCAACATGGAATTGCACATACCCAATAAGATTAAATAATACTAATAAAAAACAAAACTTTCAAGCAAGAACTCACCAACTACGCTAGATCCTCCTGAACCAAGAGTCATTGAGCTTTTTTGATATACTATAAGTTACAGCCTTAAAGATCAGAGCTTTATTTTCTTGAAGATACACAAACTTTAGCTTACTAAAAAGAAGAAGAAAAAGCAAAAGCAGAAGGGGTAGGGGGAGCAGGCCACAGTAATTTAAGCCTAGGAATATGAAAATATTGATATCTTCCCAAGGAGAAGATCTTTTTCTTTTGCTAAAAAAAAATAATAATAAAAAAGAAGAAGATTTTTTTGGTTGAAAAGATAAACATATTATAGATTAGTACAACTAGAACTAGGAACATTAGCTACTACATCACCATTACTACTAAAAACAGTACTACTACTAATTAACATAGGATTTGATTTAGGTAGTCTTCTACGTAGCATTCCTGCCTGATCTTGCTAGTAGTAAGTTGACACCAAAGGGGGAGGTCTTGAGAAAAGTATACAACGAGCCTCCACATTAACTGCTCCATGCTTAGCCAAACCATCTGCCACACTGTTTTGCTCTCGATAGATGCTTTGTACCTTTGGCTCATCCAGCTGACGGAGTAAGAACCTACAATCATTTATTATATTAGTATATTTGATAGTAGGGGTAATAAGCAAATCCAGTATTGCAATTGCATCTGTCTCAATAATCAGTGGCGAAAGATGATGTTGAACAGCTAATTTGAAGGGGGACCGAGTGGTAAGGCCGTGATCCGCAGGGGAACAGATCACTCATTCTTCCATTGGGGACAGGTGCACGAACGCACAGGGAAGAAGCTTAGATAAAAGAATACGTTCTTGCATCGCTTTTTTTTGTAGAAAGCTCGACCAACGAGAAAAAGGTAATCTGTTCCAGTTCCTGCTACCCCTCTTGCCGCTCGGCATGAATGAAGTTGAATATTCTGCAAGTCATCTCGAGGCTTTCAAACGCATCCAAGCAATTGGTATCCGATTGAAAGATAGAAAGCATAGATTCGCGTCGCCTACTTGCTGAAAGCAAAAAGCCCCATTAGGAGTGCTAGTAGCTCTGTGTGTAGGCTGGAGCCATGTGGTGCACGTCCTGTAAAACCTAAAACCCAATTGCAAAGCTGGTTTCTAAAACATCCACCAATACCATAATTAACTTGACTAAGAGATGTGGATCCGTCTATATTTAACTTAAAGACCTGCCCATCAGGTGGATGCCATTTAATGTAAAGAGGCAGTCGTGATGGAATACTTTTTTTAGGGTTTGTGAGATAGTAGAATTCTGCAGCCTGGTTATAAACTAGTTGAACACTTATTTTAAGATGAGTGTGCTCAAAGAAATTCTTATTTCTTATAGTCCATAGCTGCCATAGAGCGAATGGTAAAAGGATGGATAAGGGGATGTAGTTGTAGGATGGCAAAGGTTGGTGACTTATGAAAGTGTGCCACCAAGACATAGTATTTGCAATTACTGGACGGTCCAAACGATTTATATTTAGCTTAAGAGCCGCCCAAAGTGCTATAGCATTGTGACATTCAAAGAAAATATGTTGTATGGTTTCAGGAACTAGGCCACATTGTGAACATAAAGATGAATTGATAATTTGTATTTTTTGTAAATACGCAGCTGTGGGAAGCCTGTCATGACATATTAACCATATAAAAAAAGAGATCTTAGGAGGTATTCGGAGTTTCCAAATCCATTTGTAGTTTATGACTTCAGGACCTATGGAATGATAAACTGTTTGTGTAAGAGCATGATAAATAGACTTGACTGAGAACAAACCATTTGGTGTAAGTGCCCAAACAAGCTGATCATAATTGGTAAGTACCATTGGCATATAAGTATCAAGGATTTGAACTTCTAATGGGGAAGGTAAAACAAAAGGCAACCCATGTAAATGCCACTTATGATCATGAAAGTAGGCAGACACTCTTTTATTAATCTCCCCTTTGGGTAGAGGCCCATAAATGTAATTACGAACCAGAGAATTATAATCTAGCCATGGTTCCGTCCAGAAATTGACATGATTACCATTTGTTAAGTTCCATTTATAGCCTAGGCTACAAATTGACCAACCCTTAATAATGTTAGACCAAATTCTTGAAACAGTAAAGTGACTGACATTATGATGCCTAAGATGACTATGTAATAGTACTTGTGCCCATATCTGATTAGGGTTTTGAAATAATCTCCAAGCAAGACTAGAGTGTAAGGCATTATTTTTAAGACAGAGATTTTGGATGCCCAAGCCCTCTTGTGCTAAAGATTGAGTAACCATGGACCATTTTAAGAGGTGTAATTTTTTCTTTTGATGAGTAGTTCCCCACAGAAAATTTCTTTGGTATCTATTGAGCGAGGAAATAATATACGAAGGCAGGGTGATGTATTGCATTATATGATTGGGAAGATTATTCAGAGTTGAGGGTATCAGAGTTTGTCTTCCAGCTTTTGTTAAAAAATGAGTTTTCCATCATGCTAACTTAGATTTAAAATTTTCAATTAAAAACTGAAAATCTCCTTTAGTGGGTCTTGAGCTAAAAATAGGAAACCCTAAGTACTTACCAAAATGTGTGCCCTCCCTTATACTAAAAGTATGTTGCATGTCAACCTTCATATGAGTAGGACAAATTTTAGAGAAGAAAATTCTTGATTTTTCAAAGTTAATAGTTTGTCCTGAGTGTTGAGTAAATTGATTAATGGTGTTAACTATGGATTGACATGAAGTAGTTGTAATTTTTGATATTAAAATAATATCATCGGCGAAAAAAAGATGAGATAATTGAGGTCCCCTTCTACCAATTGAAATGGGATGCCAAATGTGATAGTCAACTTCAGAGTTTATTTTCCTTGATAGCATTTCTAAACATAAAATAAAAATATAGGGCGAAAGAGGATCACCTTGTCTAATACCTCTTGTAGGTGTAAAATAGTCAGTAGGAGTACACCATTGATTAAAAGAGCTGTAGAGGTAGTGGTAATACAAGACATTATTAGCTTTATAAAATTTTTAGGAAAATTTAGATTTTGTAAGGTGTTATAAATGAAGGACCATTCCAGTTTATCAAAAGCTTTTTCAAGGTCCAGCTTGAGTAGCATATTTGAATGCCTACCCTTCATTTTATGAAATCTAGTAATAAGTTCTTGTACTATAATTGCATTATCAGCTGCACGTCTATTTTTCTGAAAAATTTGATTTAGTTTGGTTGATGATATGTTCCAGAACTGGTTTAATTCTGTTAACAATAATTTTAGTAATAATCTTATAGATGGTATTACAGAGGCTAATAGGTCTATATTGTGCTATAGTAGAAGCATTCTGGTTTTTAGGAATTAGGCAAATAAAAGTAGTATTTATAGCGGGGTCTATCTGAGAGTCCAGAAAAATCTTATGACAAAAGTATTTGACAGAATTTCCTATAATATGTCAATCCTTTTGATAAAAAACTGGGTGTAAGCCATCGGGGCCAGGTGCCTTAAGAGGTTGAAAGGAATGGAAGGCATTGATAATTTCAAAATCCTGTAAAGGGCTATTTAATCTAGTTTGCTCCAATGAGGTAAGAACATTAAAGGGGAGAACAAATGAAGTAGGAGTAGACTTGGTTTGTTGAGTAGTAAAAAGATGACTATAGTAATTTGTAATGTCATCTCTAATTTTGTGGGGGTCTGTAATCCAATTTCCACCTAAGTCCTGAAGAGCAGTTATACGATTATTCCTACGTCGATTTAAAGTTGTTAGGTGGAAAAATTTAGTGTTAGCATCACCATTATTTAACCAATTAATTCTTGATTTTAATTTCCAAAAATCCTCTTCAAGTTGGAGAATATGATTAAACTCCTTAGTAAGAGTATTTTCTAGACCTTGTAAAAAGTGGCTAGTTGGATAGTGAATAGAGGCTTGAATCCCACCTATTCTTGCCAGTAATTTTCTTTTCCGCTTAAAGATGTTACCAAAAGTGTTCTTATTCCACACTTGGATTGATTCGATAAATTGGTTAACGGCAGGAATTAAGTGAATTTTTTCTGCCCAAACTTGCTCTATTACTGTTGCAAAAGTAGGATGAGTAGTCCATATAGATTCTAACCTAAACAATTTTTTCTAGGCAAAACACAGTGTTGTAATTCGATTTTGATAGGGCAATGATCAGAATGAGTTCGAGGAAGGTGAGTTACCAAAGCATCACCATAATTAGAAATCCATTCATAATTAGCCAACACACGATCAATACGCTCCAAAATATTAACATTGTGATGTCTACCATNGCTATCGTGTCCAGTTGCATGGGCATTGATAGGGTTTGATATTTGAGAAGGGGTAGGTTTTGAATATTGCTCCAATTGGACCGAGTCCTTGAGTACTTGATTGGTCTTTGAGATTTGGAAGTTATTAGGTATTAGGTTTGGCAAGAGTATATCCTGTTCAGTTGGATTTTCTAGTAAACTATTGTACTTATTATTTATTAATACAGGGTTAAGGGAGGGTGTTAGCTTAGAACCATTTAAGTTAAGCTTAGTAAAGGGAAGGTTAGTAGGATTAATTAATCGTTGCTTACCTGAATGATTTGTCTCCCTTGTCTCCACTGGAGGTATCCCTGTCTGATCATCAAAGTAAGTAGATCTTATAAGATTGGATTTCTTTGGAAATTGAACAACTTGCCATGCTCCCTTAACCGTAGCAGAAACATTTGGAATAGATTGATTATCATCCATGTGATGATCCTGTGGTGACTTGTCTGTTTGTGCTTCATCATTCACAACAAAATTGCAAACCCTTTGATTATGGCCCATACGTCCACACCTAACACACAGTAAATTTAACCCCTCATAAAGAATGATTTGTTTATGGGTGCCAATGTATAAGTGTGGTTTTAGAGGTTAATCAAGCAATACTTCCACACATAACCTAGCATATTGGCCTCTAGTGGTTGAAACAGTACAAGTGTCCACTGATAATAACCTACCTATTTTCTGGCCTAACTTGTGTAAAATTTAATAATCATAGTATTCTGTAGGTAATTCCGGTAGACGTACCCAAATAGCTGAGGTTGTTAATTTTGTTTCAGAAGCCTTAAACTTAGGTTTCCATTGGCGAACGGAGAGAAAATGATTTAAAACAAACCAAGGGCCACCCTGCAAGGCATGAATTTTGTTTTTCTCTTTTTGAAATTTTAATAAGAAGAAGTCTGACCCTAAATCAATTAGAGGAAGATTTTCAGTAGGTTTCCATAGAGCATAGATTTTTTGTCTAAGTATTTGATGCTCAACTTTTC